TTAAATCAGAAACTATTCCTAATCTGGTTAAAGATGACTGGACCTACAACCCATATTTTTACTTTCAACAAGATGTTCATCTTAACTTTTACAATACTGAACATACTACTGACCCAGACCCAAGACCCCTTCCACATTTATCACATCCATGTTTTAACTGATTTCTCAAATACTATAACTTGCCAACATTATCTAAACCACAAACTATTATCTCATTTCTCAATTATCTCAGCCTTTTTGAATACAATCTAAAAAGCTTTCATTTCAATACCCTTATTATTTCTATTAAAAAAGACTACTCTGAAGCACATATATATCTACCTTTCGAAATTAAACTACTATCAAATCACTTTGTCCTACTTAGAGAAGCTCTGAAATATTATTGCAATATTACTCTTAAATCTAATAGCTACATTATACCCAATATACTAACAGACCTTTTTTTAGCAACCCCACCATTAATATCTGAACCTCTCACTGCAGAACGATAAACTACTATACTACAATCAACAAAATCACCAACTATTTCAAATCTATTCTCATCACCAGATATACTTATACCAACCCAGCCATCATTACCTGAATTACCAGATCCAAGCTCTAATGCCACAATAGAGCCCTACTACTATAACTGCTCTACTATTTTACCAAACCAGAGTCTTAATTTATCAATTTGTACTCATAACGTATGAGAATATAATGAAGATCTTAAAAAACAAGTCTGAGAAGACTTCTGTCTTTCTAACAACCTCAATATTATTAGTATCACAGAAACTAAGATTTCTAAAGACAATGCAATTACTTAACTTCAAAAATCTACACTCTTTACTTACTTTTGGTTCTGTACAGATAGCACCAAAGCAGGTGTTGCTATTATGATTCGAAACCAACTTAAACTACACATTCACAATATTCTTACTGAACCAGGATATGCTATTGCTATTGACCTTTTCTTTAAACATGATTTTAAATTTAGAATCATTAATATTTACCTGCCTTGTAATAGTTTCCAACTCCGCTTACAAACCCAAAACACCATCATCCATTGGATTCAACAAGCTATTTCCTTAAATATTCAACCTATAGTCATGAGAGACTTTAATGCTTCTAGTAACAATACACAATCTTCTTCTATCAAATATAAGCTTCTTCATTTTCTTCAATATAACAACTTATATAACTTGGCAGTCCACACACAATCTACAAACACTACATAGCACAATAGCAGACATAGTAGTAGCCATATTGACTACATCTGGTTTTATCATCCTGTTCTTTGTTATCTAACCTCATTTTATCTTGAGGATACTAATACTTGTACCAAAAGTGATCACAAAATTCTAATATCTTCTTGGTCCTTCCCATATACACTCACAAGAAAACATCGACATTCAACCAAAACCAAAAGAAGAATTTTTTAATATAAAAACATGAATGAAAAACAATGGCTAAACTATTCAGAACAAATCTCATCTAACCTCCAAACTAACAATACCTCTCATACACCTAATACTACAGAATCCTTAAAATCCACATGGCACAAAATTCAAACTAGCACTATTACTGCAGCAATTCAACATATTCCTAACAAAAAATTTGCAGTCCGTAACTTTCAATACATCTTCTCTGCCAAAGCATCTAAGCTTCATTATAACCTTAAAAAACTCAGCAACATTATTAGACAGATTAAATATTCCTTTAGAAACTTATCTCCCATACCCATTCACCACAATTCTACTATAAACTATCTCAATTTACAACATCAACTCCACATCCCTAATATACTACCTAACTATTCAACTTTATTTGAATAGATAAACACAGCAAACAATGAATGGAAAGCACTTTATTATACTCGCAATATTGAAAATATTAAAGAAATTAAACAACAAATTGATAAAAATATTATCAAACAATACAACAAACTCCAATTTAACCCCACTTCCATGATTAATAGTATACTTAACTGACATTAAAACTCTGTCAGATTTGATAATATCAAATCTGAACACGATGTAATTACAGATCCCAAGGAAATTAAATTTCATATATAAGAACACTTCAACCAATAGACCGCATATAGAGCAATTGATGAAAATATATACAATACTACCTGGCTTACAGAATACAATACCAAACACAATATTGATACTACATGGTATCAATCTGCTCTCCAAAACTTTACTACAGAAGAGGTTTCTAAGGGAGCTTCTACTTATTACATAAATATAGCCCCCTCCAGAGTCAGTCATTTGACAATTACAAGTTCTAAAGTAATCAATCGTTGACAATTGCAAGCTCTAAATAACCAATCATATAGAGTTTATATTATGATTACTTTAGAACTTGTAATTGTCAAATGAATAACTCTGGAGGGGACTATATTTACGTAATAAGTGGAAGTTCTTTAAAACACTACACTATCCCAATTACCAAACAACAAAGTATGTGGACCATCAGGCATTAGCTATAAGATGCTCAAACATGCCGGACCAGATTTTGTTCAAGCCATTACATCTCTTTTCAATTGATGTCTAGCAACTAACTAAATATCTAAACAATGGAAAGAGTGAAGAATTTTTCCAATATCCAAAAAACCTATTCTTGATAGAAACCTCACTAATACTAAACCTATAAGCCTTTTGGAACACATTAAAAAACTTTACACTAAACTTTTAACAAACCGTCTAAACAGCATTTTCACTCAATACTATATCCTGTTACCATATAACTATATTACTCTACCTGGAAATAGTACAACCATTCCTATCTATATCCTCAATAATATTATTAAAGAAGCTTCCTGTAACTTCAAGCAGCTTTGGCTTATATCTCAAGATATAAGCAAAGCATTTAGAACTATTTCAAAGATCTCTTATGCATATTAACATGCCTCTTAAACTCATACACATTCTTACTGACCTATTAACTGACCACTACAACAGAGTAATTACAAATCTAGGCCTTACAAATACTTACTCTGTCAAAAATAGAATTGATCAAAGGGAGACTATAATGCCACTCTTTTGGTGAATATATTATGATCCTCTCATCAGTAAAATTACAACTCAATTCACAGGCTATACACTCACAGTCTTATGGTATACTAACCTACACCCTCCACGATACAAAGAAATTCAAACATCTGTTTCAGTACTTGCTATATTAATTAATTGAAATGCTTATTCTTTTATAAGTTGAGTTTGTTGAGACTGTTTGTTATTAAGTGT